GGTATCCATATTCTGCTTGTCAATGAGTTGTGTCATAATGTTTCCGTTGCAAGTTTTCGGTCAGCACAACTAACTTAAGCTAGTGCTGTTTGGCCTCACAGCTATAGAATTATGGTAGTGTCTTGCTTAAGTTTGCGACTGGGGAACGTTATCTGACGATCATCATTGCATGGTAATAAACGCAATAGAAAACGGCAGAACGCAGCTGGAATTACTCAAATAAATGGTTGAATGGCCGACAAAAATATCCCGTTCAAATAACTCCCTCTGCGTTTCGTTTTGACCAAATTTAGATTAGACGAACCCAAAATTTCAACCTTGTGAACATAACTAAGCATTCCTCTAATCATATTTTCCTATTTCCCTCTAAACTTTAGAAAATTTGTTTAACATAGTACCATTCTATGCAATAAAGATCTTCTCAAAACCTATAGTCTATAAAGAAGTCCGTATTAGACAGTCTTAAAATGAAATCTCTTTATTTCATATGTTTGTTCTCGTGTGTAGGAAGAGAGGAACCAAAAAGACAGAATGCGATCTCCAGGTACCTGTCCCTGTACTTAAAGTTTAGGAGTTTAGCATTGTCTTGATTGAGAAAAGGAAACTAAGTGCCAAGTCAAGTTTGCGACCAATCTGGTGGCTGGTGGTAATTTAGAGCAATGTTTAAGACCCATAAAGTGTCTTTAACTCAAAAAGTTTATATGTTACTTTATTTTAAGTCTTATAAATCGCACGCATGTCTTTGTTCATAACGTAGCCTTTTAAAATGCGCGAAGTATTCGTTTAGGATTTTGTGGAAAAAAAGAATTGCTGTTCAGGTGTGTTTCGTCTTTCCATTGTGTCCTTAAGACCTGGATCCCGAGTTTAAACGGATAAAAGAGGAGCACTTGGTAAAAATGGCGTCCCTGAGACAGGAGGCAGAATTATTAAGGCAACAGGCTGAAGTGGAGAAAATGAGAAGAGAACTAAAGGAACTCAGAGGCGAAAAACTACCACTGGACGAAACACGAAAGGTGGAGTAAATGTTTTTTTTTTTTTTTTTTTTTGTTTTTTGTTTTTTGTTTTTTTTTTTGTAGACCTTTGAGGGATAGGCGATATATTGGTGTGTGGGAAAATTCACAAGTTGGCTTTTAAAAGTCCCTTTTAAATTAGATAATTTCCGCGCAATCATCGTCATCCATTTCCACCAGCATTTAAGGGCACTTTACTTGAAGTAAACAACTCATGAATTCGAAACAAGTCACTAAATATAACAAACATGCAACCTTTGAATTCAAGCAGACAAATAATGCAATACAAAACAGGCAAAAGCCCTGAATTTCTACCCAGTACTTTCTTTTTATGCTTTCTGCTGTCTGTACTAAACCTTTCCCCCCGGGGGTAGTGCCACTGCATAAGATAAGCAGTAATAATAAAGAGTGCTTGTCCGACATTGATTTTTTCCCAACTGGCAGGGTACAGCTTCTAGTCTAGCAAGAATATACTGCTTAACAGTATCACAATATTAGGTGATGACCTGATTAGCATTAGGTAACCGACTAACTCACGGTTAATGAACTGTTCACGAAGTGAAAATGACGAAATTGGGATTCTCTTTCGATTTACTGATCAGTCCTTTTTTGGCTTTAGCCGTTTGAGTCACCGTTCATGATGTCAAATGCGACCACAGAAAAGGACTTGCTTCCAAGCCCATACGATCCAAAGTAAGTTTTTTTAATACTACGAGTCTTGGTCAACTGTAAATCGATACTCGAATCTGGTTTATATCTACAGCAGTAACTAGGAATGGTATCCTTGCTAATTAATACGTTTATATTTGAATAGCCTTTCAAGTGAAGTTTCAACTGAGTTTTAGCCTAAAGTATGATTACAATTGGGCTGCCTGTGGAAAATCCTAATCTAAAAATGGACTTCATCGTCTGTGAAGCAAAAAGACAAAATTCAGACGAATCAACCAGAAGGTGTTGCGTGTCCTGATCTTTTGACAATTTAGGGGAGGTGTTCGTCTTAAATTGCGGTGATCCTTTTTGCGTTAATTGTACCTTAGTGTTTGGCAACAAGGACAGTAATGGCGACAGCAAAAAACAAAATTGCCATTTCTTTCGTCTCCAGTGCTGGCTTTGCGGTATATTGGGACTTTGTCCTTGGACTCAGCTCCTCACTGTCCAGGTGCAGACTCGCTGCAGGTGTCTATAAAGGAGTGGAGATTGCAACAGACGTGAAATTGCTGCCGCTTGTCAGAACGACAGCTATTACCAAAGAAAGCCATCCCACAATACCTTCTGGCGGCGTTGGTGTTGTTGGAGTCAAACATCCATTTCCAAGGTGGGTTTAGGCGCTTGCATGTATTACAAACGAAAGTAATTTGCAATTAAGTGAAAGTGATTTTTAAAGTTAAGAATGTGTTAGGGATGGGCACTCCCAGTAGTGGCTTTGGTCAAAATTCCAAATTTCATTTGATGAAGTGCTGATAAATAAACGGTACCATGTGAAAGCACTGCCTAAGCTGCGTACTAAATTAAAAGTACCACACGTGAAATTACTGAAGAGGTTTCATTTAAATGATCACACCATAGGATTTCATCCACAGACTCAAAAGTTAAAACCACCTTCCAAGAATTTGCTTCGAAGAGAAAGAGTCATAGTGAAATGTCAGGGAAAGGGGTTCCCATGCAAACCTGTGTTTTCTGTTATTTAATTAATCTGGCTGTGATTTGTATTTCTGCAGATGTCTTCCCGATCAGGATCTCTGTCTTGTTGTGGAGCTCCAAGCTAACAGCGCCGAGGACTCGAATGACCCCACTGAATTATTTTCTAAGGGATGGACAAAAATCGACCTGTTTGATATCAGCAATCGGCTGCTGAGTGGAAGGTAAAAACAGTGTCCATGAATCAGCGTGCAAAGGAAGTCATGTCTGATAGCCCAGGGCTAGTGGATTTTGCTATCGGGCTAGTGATTTTTGTTCTTTACTCGCCCAACGGGCAAGTGCTGTTTTCTGGGGAAATTCAAATTACAGAAGGATTGTAATCAATCCTGCTAACCAAAAAGGGTTTGGCAGCTTGTTGAAATGACTTGTGGGCTAGTACATGCTAACTACAGCTTGCCCGAATGGCAGGCTGTTAAATTGACTTTCTTTGCACCCTGATGAATTCTCAGTTTTCTCTACCTTCTCGCTTTCTTTCTTTTCTTTATTTAACGTACATTAAGTGTAGTCTGGGTGTCTATATCAAGGCGGAGAGTAGTATAAAAGTAAAAATCACTTTTATTATGTGTTGTGGCCGGACTGGAATAATCAAATGTCGATCGCCTAGAAACTTTCTTTTTCTTTTGAGTGGGAATAACGTTATTTTTTTTTTGTTTTTTGTTTTCCTTTCTTTTCTTTTCTTTTATTATTTTTGGACATCTCAGTTAAGTTTTGCACTAAGAACAAACTTCCTCACTCACCTTTTCTGGTGGAAGTCTTTCCCTTGTGTCGTTTGTCATCTAGGTTGTTTCTAAAAATTTTTTTCCTTTCTTCGTGAACTCCGGTATTGGCTATTTAACTAATTCCTTGGCACTCTGTTTTGATCATGGTTCCACTGTACTGGTTAATTATCTTATTCTTTTTTTGTTATTTTTCTTATTTTAGGTGGAAGATTCCAATTCGGATAGCTCCAATCAAAGCCTTTTTGAGCACTCACGAATTGAATAAGATACCACAGGTTTGCCTCTTGTTACTGAACGTGTTTCCGGGTAACACCGTTGTTAGCTGTAGAGAAGAGAACTTAAATCTTAAGCCTTTTTACGTTTACCCTTTCTAAGGCAATTGCTAAGAAGGTTTTACTTCCCCAGTCGTCCCCTATGTATTCTTTGTTAATTAAGTTAGCCTCAAACTCTCTGAACAAAAGGAAAGGTTTACTTTAACGAGAATGGCCCCTCTCACTCTCTCGCTAACCTCACGTGAGGTGCGGAGGATGTTTGAAAATAGGTCTAGTTAGATCAGGCGCAGCCAGGACGTTTCAGAGAAACACAGTTTTCTAAGTCCAGACTCAACGCTGTCTCCCAAATGAATTGTTTCCATGCATGTTACTTGATTACATTTGCATCTTGTATCATTGTTGAGAGTTACTCAGCTCTCTTGGGTGTAGTACCGTGTTCTGCAAGAGGCACTATATTTTCTTTTGGGGAAAAAAAAAACAATCTCACAGAAAATTAAACAGAGCTCATAAGGCGTCAGGTCCTTTGCTTTATATTTGGGCTCAGTGACAGGGCTTAAAAACGGCTGGACATGCGCATTAAAACTCTGGGGTTCTTCCCGCCATTCGATTTTCAAAATGGCGGACGACGAATGAAAATTCTACACGTCATTCTGACGGCTATTTGCGACATCTTGCATTTTTTTTTTTTTTTTTTTTTGTTTTTTGTTTTTTGTTTTTTTTTTTGTAGACCTTTGAGGGATAGGCGATATATTGGTGTGTGGGAAAATTCACAAGTTGGCTTTTAAAAGTCCCTTTTAAATTAGATAATTTCCGCGCAATCATCGTCATCCATTTCCACCAGCATTTAAGGGCACTTTACTTGAAGTAAACAACTCATGAATTCGAAACAAGTCACTAAATATAACAAACATGCAACCTTTGAATTCAAGCAGACAAATAATGCAATACAAAACAGGCAAAAGCCCTGAATTTCTACCCAGTACTTTCTTTTTATGCTTTCTGCTGTCTGTACTAAACCTTTCCCCCCGGGGGTAGTGCCACTGCATAAGATAAGCAGTAATAATAAAGAGTGCTTGTCCGACATTGATTTTTTCCCAACTGGCAGGGTACAGCTTCTAGTCTAGCAAGAATATACTGCTTAACAGTATCACAATATTAGGTGATGACCTGATTAGCATTAGGTAACCGACTAACTCACGGTTAATGAACTGTTCACGAAGTGAAAATGACGAAATTGGGATTCTCTTTCGATTTACTGATCAGTCCTTTTTTGGCTTTAGCCGTTTGAGTCACCGTTCATGATGTCAAATGCGACCACAGAAAAGGACTTGCTTCCAAGCCCATACGATCCAAAGTAAGTTTTTTTAATACTACGAGTCTTGGTCAACTGTAAATCGATACTCGAATCTGGTTTATATCTACAGCAGTAACTAGGAATGGTATCCTTGCTAATTAATACGTTTATATTTGAATAGCCTTTCAAGTGAAGTTTCAACTGAGTTTTAGCCTAAAGTATGATTACAATTGGGCTGCCTGTGGAAAATCCTAATCTAAAAATGGACTTCATCGTCTGTGAAGCAAAAAGACAAAATTCAGACGAATCAACCAGAAGGTGTTGCGTGTCCTGATCTTTTGACAATTTAGGGGAGGTGTTCGTCTTAAATTGCGGTGATCCTTTTTGCGTTAATTGTACCTTAGTGTTTGGCAACAAGGACAGTAATGGCGACAGCAAAAAACAAAATTGCCATTTCTTTCGTCTCCAGTGCTGGCTTTGCGGTATATTGGGACTTTGTCCTTGGACTCAGCTCCTCACTGTCCAGGTGCAGACTCGCTGCAGGTGTCTATAAAGGAGTGGAGATTGCAACAGACGTGAAATTGCTGCCGCTTGTCAGAACGACAGCTATTACCAAAGAAAGCCATCCCACAATACCTTCTGGCGGCGTTGGTGTTGTTGGAGTCAAACATCCATTTCCAAGGTGGGTTTAGGCGCTTGCATGTATTACAAACGAAAGTAATTTGCAATTAAGTGAAAGTGATTTTTAAAGTTAAGAATGTGTTAGGGATGGGCACTCCCAGTAGTGGCTTTGGTCAAAATTCCAAATTTCATTTGATGAAGTGCTGATAAATAAACGGTACCATGTGAAAGCACTGCCTAAGCTGCGTACTAAATTAAAAGTACCACACGTGAAATTACTGAAGAGGTTTCATTTAAATGATCACACCATAGGATTTCATCCACAGACTCAAAAGTTAAAACCACCTTCCAAGAATTTGCTTCGAAGAGAAAGAGTCATAGTGAAATGTCAGGGAAAGGGGTTCCCATGCAAACCTGTGTTTTCTGTTATTTAATTAATCTGGCTGTGATTTGTATTTCTGCAGATGTCTTCCCGATCAGGATCTCTGTCTTGTTGTGGAGCTCCAAGCTAACAGCGCCGAGGACTCGAATGACCCCACTGAATTATTTTCTAAGGGATGGACAAAAATCGACCTGTTTGATATCAGCAATCGGCTGCTGAGTGGAAGGTAAAAACAGTGTCCATGAATCAGCGTGCAAAGGAAGTCATGTCTGATAGCCCAGGGCTAGTGGATTTTGCTATCGGGCTAGTGATTTTTGTTCTTTACTCGCCCAACGGGCAAGTGCTGTTTTCTGGGGAAATTCAAATTACAGAAGGATTGTAATCAATCCTGCTAACCAAAAAGGGTTTGGCAGCTTGTTGAAATGACTTGTGGGCTAGTACATGCTAACTACAGCTTGCCCGAATGGCAGGCTGTTAAATTGACTTTCTTTGCACCCTGATGAATTCTCAGTTTTCTCTACCTTCTCGCTTTCTTTCTTTTCTTTATTTAACGTACATTAAGTGTAGTCTGGGTGTCTATATCAAGGCGGAGAGTAGTATAAAAGTAAAAATCACTTTTATTATGTGTTGTGGCCGGACTGGAATAATCAAATGTCGATCGCCTAGAAACTTTCTTTTTCTTTTGAGTGGGAATAACGTTATTTTTTTTTTGTTTTTTGTTTTCCTTTCTTTTCTTTTCTTTT